ATAAACATCAAATAAGCAAATAAATATTATTGAATACCTTCAAAATACTTTGTATATTTTCAAAAGCTTCTGAAATGGTTGAAAATTCTGACTCATTTAAATAATTATTAGTAGAGTCTATAGTCAATATATATTTGTATACATATCTTGTATAAGAAAAATGTCTTGAAAATATATATTGACAAAATTGACATTTGTAATTTATTATAAAAGACTTCAAAAAACTTCAAAATGTATAAAATTGATCAATAAAATACTACTTAATTTTAGTCAATTAAAAATTTAATTTATATGTTGTCATAATTTTATCAATATGATTTTATTTTTAAAGCTATGAAGTGATTTTTGAAAGGTGACGAAAAGTTGTATGTGGTCATAATATGACATAACTTTTTGAGATTTGTGTTATACAAGGTTTTAAAAGTCCTTTCTTTTTTATTAATGTCAAATAAAAGAAAAGAAATGCATAACATGTTTCAATAAATAATTTCAGATTCAAGCTCTAGTGAAATGATAAAAGAAAAATGACAAGAAAATATTTAGAAATCCTCCAAAAAACTTAAAAGTATTCCCGGTATCTAATAATGGGTCCCTAAAGTATTTAGCATATAAAATTTTGCAGATCACTTATGTCCTTTTTTGAGGGACAAAATTTATGGCTCTTCACTTTAATAGGGACAAAAGTCAGAAAATGTTATAAATCAATGATTTAGATAATGAAGAACAATTGTGGTTAGTTTTTTTATAGTTATTAATTTAAAAATTTCAATGTTTCTTAGTAAGGGACATTTGACTTATGTTCCTGCCTCTCCTTTAGGGACCCATTTTTGCCTACACTTAATGCTCATTTGTGGTAAAAAAAAAAAAAAAAAGAAAAGAGATGGGACCAGCAAATACAAGACTAACACAGATATATACAAAACCTAGTATAAAAACAATTTAAGAATGGACATACATGGAACATCTTCTTTAAGAGCTCACAAACAAAAGCTTTTTTATTAAATTGATCAATTATGAGTTACCAATGTTAACTAAGCTGATTTCAAAAAGATCAGATCTATATAAGCAAGTGAAATATATTATGTGTGACCAGAAAGAGGAAACAATAGAACACTTGCTAAAATGATCAACTTACAAGACACAGTAAAGTGAGACATGACAAAAAGAAATAAAATGGGTTATTAAAGGATTCAGAAAGCTTTCAAAAGAAAGGAAAAAAAATCTGAAGAGAAAGAATTAAACTTAATTATAAATAATAGGATAGAAATAGAAGAAATCAACAAACAGATGGCAAAACTGATAAAAAGAATCTCAGAAACCAGTCCAGATACACTTAACTTTTATATGGGACTAATAAAAGAAAATTTGATTGTAAGAATAGCTAATCTGAAGTATTGTGATAAGAGAATTGAAAAAGAGGCAAGAAGATAAATAATAAAAATGCAAAAGAAAATATATAACCACTTCTGAAAGAAAATATGGAATATGAGATATGAAAAAGTAATTGAGTGGGAACAGATATCAGGAATCTGTAAATACAATTAATAAAAAAACTAGTACATTTATGGAATTAGAAAAGAAAGAGCAAGAGTACAGAAAGTCAATCTAGTAAGATATTGATATATAAAGAAAAAAAAATTAAAGATAAAAAGTTGAAAGAAATTCTATTAAATAGTATAAAGTATGGTATAATGTAATTAGTATTTTGATTTCTGTTAGAGTTCAAAAGAGTGATCTGTAGTAGTAACCTGTAGGCAATAATAGAAGTTGGAAGGATCTTCACTTGAATCTCTAATGTAGCAAAAATCACTTCCAAAGTTGTACTTAGAAAGATAATATAACCAAAATAAGTATATAAGTTAGAAAATTTGCTTTAATATTTCATTTAATATATATAGTCTACGAATATTTAATATATCATCCATAATTAACTTAATAGAGGGAAAAAATAATTAATATAATATTTGAATTTAATATTTAATTTTTTTTTTTTTTAAATGCCAGCTCAACCTTTACTTTATTAAATATAATTTTTAAATGTCGATGTAATACATATTAAAAATATACTTGTAAATCTATAAAGCTGTATTATGACTATACTGATTAACCTCTGGCATGTTGCTATCTCTAAAGTGAGAACTAGCAAAGGGCCACTAGTGCTGAAAAAAAATTTTATAGGGGGGAAAAAGGGAGATCAGAAAATAAATGAGTGGATGGAATAATTAATTTATATATCAATTTCTTGCTATGTAACTTTTTCAGGGGGAAGAAAATTTAATTCAAAATATTCATTAAAACCCCTTAGGTAGTGCCAAATACCCATTTATATATGATAGTGGAAACACCAGTGCATGGTTTGATCATATTTCAGATCCTCCAATAATTTTTATGCAATATCAGTTGTGTTTCAGATGCTTTTACCTAGGTTCTTGAAAAATGCGGGAATCTCAGTTATTGCCTTTGGTAGCTGACTTGTGCTCCCTTGTGGAAGCTCCCAAAATATCAATGCAGATCATACATGGGAGTAAGATATTAATGCTCAGCAGGAAGGTGAAGTCTTTAGGATAACTACTAAGTTACTTTCTTGGGGAGATATAGGAGAAGGGGAGGTGGATTCAATCTTATTTAAAAATGGGAAGAGATTGGGGTAGGTATATATATATTGATATCGGTAGGTCAATCTACAGACCATTTTCATTGATCCTTATTGTGTGCCGGTACAGTAAAGGTCACTATTCATACACTTTATTCTCTGTGTCCTAAAAGTCGAGTCAAGGAATCGATAGAGGAATTAGTGCCCTATCTTTAAATCTTTACCTATTCGACGGAGCTAAAGAGAAAACCTATTCAGTAGCCAGGAGTAGGTAACTACAACTATAAAACCTAGTTGTAGTATCTTGTGACCTTTACTATAGTCGGATGGACTCTTTCTTGAAAGAATCAATGATGTAAACAGAAAAGTGTCCTGTATTCACCTGCACCTAGCCAATAACTTATGGTGAACTCCAGGTTCTTATGGAGTTGAGGAAATACATTCAGACACGTGAGGTGACCAATGGGAGCTTGTTTACATTCATTTACTAATGTGAGCTCTATTTGTCCAATCACGATGTGAGAAACTTTGTGCTACTTAAAATTCAAGGTCAAACTGAGGTAGGTAAAATTCCCCAGAAAAAATCAAGAACGAGTACTATGAGAAGCCAAACAAATGACAAGAGAGTGGAAAAGTTGTCTCTCATAATTACAGAACTTCTATGATGGTTCTCTACAGTATGAGATGATGGCTCATTAGTTCTTTTTCCATTCAGAACTTTCTTGCCATTGGTAGGAAAGGTTTTTCTTGATCTTTATGGTCACTAAAGATCAAGTTTTTATTTGAAGAGAATAGTAAGCAAGAGGAGAAAAGGTAGTTAATGACTCTTGAAGTTTCTTCAAGTTGGTTTAAGGAGAGTAGTAAGACTTTATTAACTGAGAAGTATAAAAACTTCTTGCGAATGTCTTTTTTGTGTGTGGTCAGAAAATCAGCAGAAAGAGTTGATTTTAAATTTAATATTTAATAAAGTTTAATCTAATATTATTTATAGTTAATATCTAATAATTAAAAGTTTATTTTTTTAAATAGTACATCTTTTAAAAAATTTTTATATTTATGAAATTTTAAATAATAAAAATAGTATTAATTTTAATTATTCTTAACTTGAATTATTATTTAAACAAAATTTATCCAATATATGAGAGTAAACTAATATACAAAAATAAATATTAAATTATAGAAATAATTATAGTTTTTTATTTTTATTTTATTGTAACACACTTGCATATTTTTAAATATTATTTTCTATTTTTTTAATTTATCCTTTTATAATTTCCTGTATTTCAGTGGCTTAATAAAACATATACAGTAATAATCTGTTGACAATAAAGTGACAAACTAGAAAAATATTTACTCAAAAACTATCATAAAGTGAAATATTATTCCCAAGGCTTGACTTAGAGACTATTATTGCTTATTATAAGTTTGCTAGATTTGATAATATAATGTATATCTGTAGTAGATATCATATTGCTTGAGTAAAAATGTATTTATATTTTCAATTAATTAATAAACTATGATATAACCTGGCTGCAGATACTAAAAAAAAAAAAATATATTAAAATATTTTTAGTATATTAAAAAAATCATTTTGCTGTATAAATTATTATTAAAAATACAAAAATTAATATTTTAAATATACTTTTAATTATTTTTTGAAAAATTTTGTTGAGAGTAGCAATGTCAAAATTCAAAATTAAATTCTTAACAAAAAGATTAAGAAATTCAACTACACGAAATCAACTCTTCTACGGCAATAACATAATAATTAAACTATTTATCAAAAATTTTATAATTTATTTTGTTTTTATTTTAATTTTTTTTTATAATTTATGCTTTTTATGTTACCACCACCGATTTTGCTAAAATCCGCACGCGGAGTTTCTAAATTAGATACAAATTCCTATCAAAGGTAGTTTTTGCTTTTTGATGAAACTATAATTCTATCAATGAATGTTCCGATTTCTATTCACTCGATGTATCCACTTCGCTTTGTTAAAAAATTTTATTATTGAGTGATTTTGTTTTACTGACCCAAAATGTAATTTATCAACTCGGAATACTTCCAGTTCCTCGGCGACGAAAGAATCAGTATCCAAAATACGTTGATCATAATAATTTTGATGGCATGTTCCATTTATCCCATTAAGCAATAAATCACTTCCCCCAAATTCCAACATACTACCTCCATAATCGTATACACCAAACCTCCTATCGTTAAGCCGGCCAATTTTCATAGTTTTATAATCATCTCGGCTCCCAAAGGAAAAAATGAAATGGTTAGAATTTTTTATCCAACCATAATTATAATATCTACCTTCACAATGTATGTTTTCGTGACTATTATTATTACACCTCCTACTCCACCCACTTGCATTAAAGCCACCTATTACTTCCCCCGTATCCTTTACCTTGATGATTGCAATCGCTTGTCCTTGGCCATTAACCTTTTCGTGAAATGCGTCTGCATCAAACCCGTCACGAGTTCCGCGATAAAGAAGGGCAAATTTGCATTGGGTTCCCCTTGCATTGGCGTCTTTTCCTTTAATCCAGTTAGAAAGAATATTCGCATGCCTTCTTGTAATAATTTTTGATTCGATCATAAAAGGCGCTACACGTACGGGTAATATTTTTTGTTTCGGTTCCATCCCAGTTATAAGAAAAGACATAACCTCTTCAACGAGTGATCTTGGTAGGACTTGTTGGTATGGTCGAACCTTGCAATAAAAATCTTTTAGAGAAACATTATAAAATCTAATATGTGGAATGAAAGGATCCAATGTTTTTTTTAAATCATTAAAATCTTTCTTTGAAAAGTCCTTCGGATCGAAAGATTCCTTTTGTCTAATTCCTGGTGTTCTGTGGACTCCCCATTCTATAAGATGTTCCCAGACTTCTATCTCCTCAATTCCTAGGTCATCTCGCTTAATTAATTCTAAAAAAACCTCTTTATCGAATGACAAGAAATCCTTGGAAGAAAAAAAAGGTCCGGGATTATCACAAATGAATTCTAGGCAATAGTCTTGAAGTTTTTTGCAACTGACAAGTTGAATCACCGTGTGTAAGACTAAAAAAAGATTCTGCTTAAGCCAGGAGGACTCTTTCTTGATAATGTAATCTTGAATATATTCGATTAATTCATCAAGAAGTAATTCGTCAGATGCAATTAGAAGACTAAGAAAGTCGGGTCTAGGAACATTGGTTAGGTCAAGAACTCCGGAATAGATATATCTAATTGCAAATATAATATATATAATCAAAATTTTTCAATACATTAAGAGAATAACAAAGGTACATTATAACTTACTTAAGAATTAATGTAAAGATATTAGGTGAAATATTTGGTTTAGTGAATAATATAATTCCATCTTCCTTGATTGTAGTCCATTGATTTGAAAGTGCTCTCTTAAAGTATAATGAACGTGCCCTTAATATCGTGGAATGTGCGCGAAAATATTGAGCACATGTGTCTTTGCCAACTTTAATATTAACGTTATAATCATCGGAGTCCTCGAGAAGTTGAGAGAAGTCTTGCGATAAATTAGAATAGAATTCTGTTCGCATCTCTTATATTCTGATTAGACAACTTATAAATGTTTTTAAAAATTAAGAGATAATAAATAATATTCTTTATTCTGTCGTCTCTTCAATCGAACAGTACTGGTTTTTTGGACATGCATGTGTTTTATAATACCTATATTTTTTTCAGACATATGTCTGTGTGGCATTTTTATACGGACATACAAACCTTCAATCCGGTATTCGTTATTTGGTCCCTTCGTGCAGCAATGTTTGTGTAGGTGCATTCGTATTTGGAATTTCCATATATAGAAATCAAATAACGTATGTGCTTATAATATACACGCATACGGTATGTATTCTGCATTATTATTTACATTATTGTGGCTCTAAATTTGCACAAGACGCCAAAAGCAGTGGCTAATATTTCTGCACGTCAATCTATTAAACGTAATCCTGCTGGCAAAGTTTAATTTTGACATAAAGGGTTAAATGGATTTGCCAAGTATAATCTTTTTCTGTACAATGTTTCATCTTTCTATTTATAATTCTACGAATTTAATAACGACTTTCTTAGACTTGGATTACTTAAGAATCAAAGCCTACTCGACTATAATAGCATGTTTGTAATTGAATAGCCATATTTAAATTTTTTACAATAAAGTCTCGCAATTTAATGCTTGTTCTCAAGGTAAAAATCTCTAATTTTTTATATACTAAAATGGATCAATATAATAAATATAATAAAATAGTATTTTTTATAATTAAATTGATATATAAAAAATATTTTATTGTAATAAAAATTTATATAATAATTAAACCACGTATAATAATATATTATACTGTTTATTTTTATTTATAAAATATCATTTTTCAGATTTTATAGATTAAATTTAAAATAGTAAAATAAAAAAAATATCCTATCTTAATATTGGTTTTTTAAATATTTGTAACTTAAAAAATTTTAATTAAAAAATCTTCTATATAGAATAAATAAATTTAAATATTTTAGAGTTTAATAAAAAATATTAATAACTATGATAATTATATTATAAAAATATTAATATTTATATTAATTATATTGTAAAAATATTAATAATTGTAATAGTTATATTATAAAAATATTAATAATTATAATAATTATATTATAAAAATATTAATAATTATAATAATTATATTAATTATATTATAAAAATATTAATAATTATAATAATTATATTATAAAAATATTAATAATTATAATAATTATATTATAAATATTAATAATTATAATAATTACATTATAAATATTAATAATTATAATAATTATATTATAAAAACATTAATAATTATAATAATTAT